GACTCTCAAGGTTGAGCGCTCGCGACACCTCACATCGAGAGGACTCTCAAGACAGAACTCACTTCCTCACGGTAAGAAGCAATGAAGAGGGTAGATAAGGAAGAGAGCAACGTACCTCATAATGCTGCTCCCAACCACAGATTTCTCACCGGCAACCTGATGTGCAATTATGATGACCGGTCTTTGCCTCGGCACAACCAACAGCAGAATGCAGTTCCACCTCGGCTTAATATGCCTTATCAGCGAGTTCTCATCATCCAGCATACACCCCGTATGTCACCACATAGCTCCCTGGCGCGCCCACTCTACCCTGGGCCGCCCAATGTTCAATGCCAATGCCTTATCACTGGCCCATACCTCATGCGAAGCACCAATAGCTATTGCGGAGAACCAATGAAGCGCAATATGAACCAGCTCTGATACCAAATTGCAAGGAAAATAACCAACAGCGAGATGACAATTTCAGATCACACCATCACATTGAAAGCCAGATAGTCACACCGTGTCCAGAGAACAGCATTGCACCAATAATACACCAATGGAGGTTCATAGTACTGAAAACCAATGTCATGGAGAGCATACTCTCTCCTCATCAACACAAGAGTCCAGTCCCTTCACTCTCCTACTTGGCGCTCAGCGCCCAGCCTACTCCTGACACAGCTACTACAGCCTACTAATTGACAATGCAACTGTTGACATCAGCAGCAACCTGAAGTACTTGAAGATGTCGCCCATGCAGACCATCGCCAAATACAAGGTAAGTGCCCTCACATCATCATCATCATCATCCTTCACCTATCCCGTCTTTACTCCCACGCTTACACCCGAAGACCACCCCTGCGCCTCACTGTAGCCCAAGCCCACCAGCTATGGTGGCTGGGCTATGGCTCTGCCCTCAGCAGCGCCCTTCTTCCCTGCATGACCGCACGTGCTGCACCTCGCCTCTCAGCGCCAGGAGTGAGCTCTTTCCTTTATGGAAAGAGCTGGCCTGCTCGCGCAGCCTGGCTGCACTGGCCTGGGCCCAGAAGCTTCCGGAAGGCCCCAGGAGGCTGCCTGTGTACAGCAGCTACTGGGCTGCTGGGTCTTGTTCGGTTGGGCGCCCAACTGTCTCTGTATGAGGCTGCGAATCACGCCCAGGGCCTGCATTCTTTGGAAAAGCCCGGAAGGCCGTGGAAATGTCTNGTTCGGTTGGGCGCCCAACTGTCTCTGTATGAGGCTGCGAATCACGCCCAGGGCCTGCATTCTTTGGAAAAGCCCGGAAGGCCGTGGAAATGTCTTTGTTGCCCGGCCTGAGTTTCTCTCAACCAACTGGCGCGTCGCAACTCCCTGGACCCCAAATATGAAATTGACAGTCGAGGGCCTCTTGCAAAATGCCAGGCCCACCTTCACTTAGGGCGGGCACCTCCGCCTTCACTTAGGGCGGGCAATGCTGCAAACAGGGCCCCATAGGCCTACCGAGGACCCTGATCCTCGCACTATGTCTGCACACGATAAACTGTGTACACATTCTATAGACTCTATAATAGATAAACGGTGTACACATTTTATAGACTCTATAATAGCCTATGTATCGACAATGTATAAACTGTGTACACATTTTATAGACTCTATAATAGACTATGTATTGACAATGTATAGACAATGTATAGGCTATGTACTACGTACACTATAAACTGTGTACACATTCTATAGACTCTATAAAATAAACTCTATAATAGACAATGTATCGACAATGTATAGGCTATGTGTACACATTCTATAGAATCTATAAAATAGACTCTATAATAGACAATGTATCGACAATGTATAGGCTATGTACTACGTATTCACTATGTATACAGTAACGATAGGCTATGAATCGCCTGTCTATAGACTATATATATGTGTGTAGACTATGTATACAAAGTTTATACTCTATATGCTATACATTGTGTATAGTGGTGGGGTTGGTGGAGCATGCATGAGTTGGAAAAAAAGGCTCACAATCAACTGGAGGTTAGCTGGCTTGTATCCATCAGTGGATGTGAAATCTTGGAGGAACTGTGCGTCAACTACGTAGACGAACAACCTGTGTGTCAAGGTGGTCAGAGATTTCAAGTCCACCACAGATATACCTGCACTTGCAACCAAGATTGGTGTGCGATTATGTCATTCCAGAGTTTGTATGTCGGAAGATTTATGGCCAGCCTCCAGTGGCGGTATGTCTGTGACTCTGTGCTATGACAGTACGAACCTGACCAGTTTCATGCTTTCGAAACCTGGCCCTTGTAAGAGATGAAAGGCAACACCTCAGAAGATGATCTCAAGCCATAGAGTTCCAATGCCTGCTGCTCCCCCTGCCCGTCGCCCCCACCGCAAGTGCCTTTTTCATTGCTGTGTTGTGGAGGCATTGAGTTGTTCTTGAATTTCTCTTCACAATCTACGGTCAGTGGGTCACAATGAGTAACCTGTATCGGTCAACTGCCTAGTTAACCCAGACAGGCTGGTGGTTTTGACCACAACTTATTTTAGCCAGCTCTTGTCATCCATATATTTGGTCGGTGAGTCAATCGGTACAGCTCAACTCCCAGAGAGCCACTGTTACATCTTCGACGCCACACGGGTCCTACCGGACCCGACTTAGGGCCAGAGGGACACAGTAGGGCCTAAAGGCTCAGACTTGGGGGTACAGCAGGCCGAAAGACCACATTTTTGGACCAGACCGACGGGCAGGCCCAAACGACATTCTCGTTTTGGGCCTGGCGGCGCTTTTGAGGCTGCCGCCCGCCGATCGGATCTGAATTGTCAATCATGACGGTTCAGATCACGGCCAGGCCTCGCAGCATTGAGGCCGGCCTCTTTTCCACCGGTACTAAAGATCGGTGCAGCCTCATTGTGAGGCATCGAGCCACTGGCATGCTGCATCAGCGCCAGTGCGTATCGGTTGAGGCAGAGCGCTAATATTATTSCAGGAGCGGAGCAGCAGCAGCAGCGACGAGCAAGGAGCTGGGCAGCAGCCATCGGCAGTACGGCRGCCATAGCCGCGACCTGCAGTCGGACTGCAGCACAGCYAGGTACCAGGAGGCGAGGGGATTTCCTCCTCCCTCCACRGCCCCAGGCTCTCTCCTCCTCACCTCCTCCTCCTCTGCCATCTCTTCTCCTTCTTCTTCAGACTTCTTCTTCTTCTTCTTCTTCTTCTTCTTCTTCTTCTTCTTCTTCTTCTTCTTCTTCTTCTTCTCTTCTTCTTCTTCAGACTCCATCTTCTTCTTCTTCAGACTGGAGACTTGATACTAGTTGGACAGAGATCAGTGTTGGACTTCGGTGGTAAGAGGCTGTGGTACTTACCAGATTCGAGACTTGGAGATGGTTGGGGTTGATACTCGGCAGCATCACAGATTGGACACCGGTTACATTAGGACTCTGTATCTCCGACATTGGTGACTTATTGTCCACGACATTTTGATCTTGTTCGGTGACATTTTTGGACTACCATATCGGTGACCTACTGGATTCTATCTCGGTGACATCTGGCGCTACCTACATCTCCCACCTCCTTCGTCTCTCCTCCCACCTTCATCTGTGTATGCGTGTACGGGGCCTGAGCATCGTCTATGAATGGCTCAGACCCCACCATCTCACGATTGTTTGTGTGGAGTGATAACTATGTGAGTCAGTCTATGTGTGTCAGTCCATTTATCAGACTTCGGCTGCATACATGCTCATCCTATACTGGTTGATCTCTTGGTTCTGCCCATACTTGTTGAAGTATTCAGAAGTATGCAACAGTTTTGGTATCGGAGCAGACCAAACGATGGATCTGCTCACCAGGTAAGTCTGATTTAGGAATAGATTGCTCTTCGATCTTCCAAATCAGCTCTGTATTACTATCGAGATTCAAAGTTGCAATTTTTTTTCTATCTTTTTCGGTATTCTGTTTAATTCGGCATTCCGTTTCAATTCAGTATTCGGACTTTCAATTCGGATTTCTGTTTTAATCCGGTATTCTGTTTAATTCAGGCTCCGATTTCCGATATTCTGTTTAATTCGGATTTCTGATTCTAATGCGTTATTAGCATACTTGCAAGCAGACGGACCAGATGAGCGTCCGGTCCGGTCCGCTTGTCCGCGTACGGCACCCTCCCCACGGACCAGACGGACCCGGACCGGACCGGACGGGGTGCGGTCTGGGACTCTTCCGTCCGGTACGGTTTGGTCCGGGATTGGAGCGGTGCCTTCCCCAGACCGTCTGGGTTGGT